AACAATCGATGCCTGTGCTGATGACATCCTAGAAGAAAGATGGCATATCTGGTTCCTCGCCAGAATCCAGGGAAAACAGAACCTATTTGCCACCTCATTCCCGGTCTTCAGTTGAGCAAGTCAAAGTCTGGACTTACCTAGCACTTTCATCTCAGACTCAGAGCTGGGGAGCCTACACTGAGATGGAGAAAATGATGTTTCTGTCAAGAGCCAACTCATGGCTATAAGCAAACCTCCCTCCCCTACCATAGCACTGCCTGTTCCCCTCCAGGTGTTCAGTAAGAGCCAAGATTACCAAACCCAGCAGTGAGCAAGCTGGCAGCTGAGCTGGATACTAGGCGGGTGATTCTCTATGCGAACTATCTCATGGTGAAGACAATGGAAAGCGCTGGACAAAATGAGTCAAGGAAGACCTATGCCATTTAACATATATTTATTGAAATCTACCAGATGAAAGGCACTGTGCTAGATTTGGTAGGGGATTAGACATGAAGGACCGCCCCTGTCTTCTAAGAGCTCACAATCTACTAGTTTGGGGAAGGCTGAGAAAAGGGGATGGGAAGCTAAGTCCACAAACAGCTCTAGTGCAAGGCTGATTATAGACAGTGCCATAAAGCAGACAAGATAATAAGACTGGGGAAGAACAAGAATGCCAAAAACTGAATACAAACTGGAGGGACACACTACTATTCTCAGAGATACACAAGTAGCATTGAGGATCAAGTTCAAAGATACCATTTCTATTTTGAAATTAAGTATCCAAAGCAACAATGCCAACTACAGAATGTAAGTACACTAGGAATAGAGGTGTCATCAATCCCCTAATCTAGCGGTTTTGCTGGAAATAGTAAAACACTTCCAAAATAGAGTAGAACAGGTTCCAGTGAGCTCGTCTTATGAGCCAAATGCTGTTCAGAAAAGGAACTATACTCATACAGAAGATCATGGGTTAATCCCAGAGACTGACTAAAAGGCATAGAGCTCCACCCATCTTAGTGAACAGAAAACAGTTCCACATTTAAGCAGGTGTGCATGTCAATCAACTGGGATTTAGGCCAGGAATGCCGGGTGGGTAGAATGTGAGGAAAGTCAGCAATGCAAGTCTTCTCAGCCCAATTGGCTCTTGTGTAATTTCAAAAAGCACAGACCCACTCAAGCTGGCTGAAGGCGAGGAGGAGGAAGTCTATGGTAAGGACACACTAGACTGATGCAGGCAGCTGCCAGTAATGAAGAACCTAGAGCTAGGCCTCCCTTAGGGTGGAACCCAAGTAGCTGTGAGAAGGAGAGCAGGAACATGTAGCTCTCCACTATGGTTCTACTCACAGGGGCAACTCTTTGAAGTACCTTGTGCCTTCCTCCATGGTCCAATACCAACCAGAGACTTCAGTTTCCTCTTTTGCATTTCACAGTACTAAAAGGAGAAATCTATCTTCTCCAATTAGGTCTGACTGCTAAGGTTGCTGCCTTTGGGTCAAGTGTCTGGGGTTGGTTTAATTAATGTGGTCCAGAAGTGGGGTGGCAAGTCACGTGGCACACAACAGGGCCACAGCCCAGGACTGTAGGCAGGTCAGGTGTCATGCCACTTCAAGCACACAAATCAAGCACAGAGAATGCAATATCATGGGAGAAAGATGCCCACACTGATCTGGTGGGGATTACTCTATAAATCCAAGACTGGGTATGATACAACTAATTGATATAGTTATTCATAAGCAGCAAAATGGTAAACATTTGCTTTTTAAAAAAATTCAGCAAGTATTTAATACTAACAAAAGCCACGGAGGGTTTCTTTCTTAATACGGTAAAGAGATGGAGCCACCTCTCTATCGGGGGCCAGGATTCTAGCTGCTCTCCATCCCCTTTCAAGAACACATGTGCTTAGAAAGAAAAGTGCAATGAGGTAGATACATGGATGCATAGACAAGCACACACTGCAAGAAGCTTGCTCACGTTTGCATGGGACAAAACAGCACACCTAGAGGATCCACATTACCCAAGGCAAAGGATGCAACTATGCGTGTGGCCACATGTTAAAGCCACACACTGGTTGCGTTTGGAGGGGATCTCACTGCCAACATCATTTAAAAGGTGATCCAATAATAGTCACAAAAAAAGACACTTGTTTTTAGTTTTGAATCTGAAAAAAAAAGCATTTGAGAAAAAATTACAGAACCCAAACAGAAAAGAGTATAAGAGGGCAGGAATGGATGTGAAGACATGCCATGCCCTATGACAGGCACTAGGCCATGACCACTCTGCTACCTTCTTAGTTAGTGCTACTCTAGACGTCAATAAGATCTTTCGCCAACCTTGACAAATGATGAGCGAATGAGCAAGAAACATTCCTTACCCAACGATTGCTGTACTAAAAAGGTCCCAATAGCTCACTATGAGAAAAGTAATCAGAAAAACTGGGTCCAGACCAATTCACAAGAAACCACCAGAACTGAGCCTACAGTCTGTGGTGGCCTGGGGGCATTAGAGAAGCCCTCCTGACCAAGATCATGGAGGTCATTGTCAGTCAGACCTTGCTTCCCAGGGAGCCCTTCCAGGCTATGCACCTTGGAGAACACAATCTCCCTCACGAGGCTGTCATAAGATACATTTTCTGGCCCTCCAACACCTCTCAGGACACAACCAGAAACTCAGGCTCAACCTTGGTGTGGCTATTTTCCTCACCTGCTGTTTCTCCTGAACGGGGCTCGCAGCAACAGCCTAACTGCAGGGGGATCAGATTTGATTTCTATGCTACATGAACTGTCAGAATGGCTTCTTGTCCTCTGATCCTGTTTTATTGCCCCTCTTGGGCATGGCTATTGCAAGTCCTGAACTAGACCTGGTACTCAAGATTCTGTGGCACGGCTTACAGGCTACTAGAGGAACATGGCTGTTTCTCCCCAGGCCTCTTAGATGTGGTTGCAGGACATGATGCCACACACATGGGCAAATTTCTCATCCTAGTTGCCCAAAGCAGAACCCACAAAACTGATCTCTTTCATTCCAGAGTCATTTGCTGGGAGGAGGATGGAGGTCACATAACATCACCAGTCAGGTGAGTCTTCTATGTCTCAGATATTTCTTAAGTGGAGCTGCTGCTCAGTCACTGACTCCAAAATAATCAAGGCTCCTGACAGCTGGAAAGATGGCTGGCTGCTGCCAGGTCATATTTGGACCATTCTGTTGGTCTAGGTGAAGCTGAGCCCTGGTGCTGGTGGCTGGGGCTATGCTGATGAGCAGTCACAGAGTGCTCTGAGCAATGTGTGATGGACATGTCTCTAGTGTGCCTCAGTGGCCAGGTTGTATGGTCAAGGGCTGCCCAGAGACATTTACAGAGTCTACATCTTGGATGAGGCATGGGCCTGCTTCTCTGGCCCACTCCCAGCCAGCCTGCCCACTCCATATGTTCACTTTCTCAGTAGGCAAGGGATTCAACTTTTCTTTTGTAAGTAAATTCTCGAAGAAAATATCATCATATCTAAGTACTGAAACAATGAAAGTCATGAGTTAACAGACAAAAAAGAATTCGAGGATACGTAAAAATAATCCAAAGCCTATAAAACAAAAATGTAATAAAAGTACTAAAAAAAACAAAGCAATAAAAATTGGAAAGTAACACTCCAATTGATATAGAAAGAAGTACTAAATCAATATATCCAAAGGTAACTTGATAACTAGTCAAAGGAGATGAATGGATAATTGGCATGCAAGAAAACGAAAATAGTATTGAAATCATTGCATGAAAGATGAGACTAGTAGTCAGGAGGCCTGAGGGGTCCATCTTTATCTCTGATACTAATGAGCTGTGGGATGTCAGCAAGTGACTTTCACTGAGCAGACCTCCTTGCTGGGCAATGTTCTTGCAAGCAAGGCACACTCCTTGAGAACCTTAGGAGGTAGAGACTGTGACTGCTCCCCACTTCACCGCTGCAAATGGAAGGCTGAAGAAGTACCATTTATGCCTGATATGAGATGAGGATCTTCCAGGAAGATGTCACTTTACCTTTAAGTCCTGAAGATGGCCTTCTCTCTCACTTTATGTTGAACAAGATGATACCATGTGAAGCTAAACCTCAACTGATGTTTGATTTTGATGTTTGTAGGGGTCACTGGATTAAATTGGCTTAGCTAAATGAGATACCAAAAAAAGGTTTATCTCTAGCTCACTAAGTTTTACTAGGAGTGCACCCCCTCAGAAAAAAGTCCCTTTAAAAGGCCATTTGGGAAAGCAGCACTTTATGTGATTATGTTGTAGGTCCAGTACTAATTTAAAAACACAAAGTAATGGTTGTAATGTTATATGAATATGTTCTTATGGCTTGGAGGAAACCTGTGGTGAAAGCCTCATGCAGGGGTTGACACAGTGCTGTCACAGCACAAATAGAGGTGGCTGATGACTCAAACAGGGTCCCATGTTGGTGAGGTCAAAAAATGTACATCAAGAGTTAGAAACAAATGGAGTATGGTGAAAAAAGTATGGTAAATTCTCTACATTAATATATTAGTCCATATAATGTGATTTACAATATGTATGTATAACTAAATTAATAAATTAAATATTATGCTATTTGATCTATTTACAATCCCTAAAATTTTATAAATTCAAGTAGGCCAATACCTCGGGGCAATTTTCCTTTCAAGAAAGGTGCATCATCATTCTGACGCCATTGAATTTCCCTCAGGGGTAGAGCTTCGCAAGGACCCCCCAGCTCCCTACTTAGACCCCCATATGCAGATTTTTTCTTCTCGTTCTGGATATGAGGATTAAAATACCTTGATGGTATTTTCTGCAAGGAAAAGTAGGCAAGCTATGTTAAAATGGTAAAAGTCACTTTCAATAGGTCTACTGGGAAACATGAACATTTATAAATTGCTGGTGGCAGTACAAATCATTTCAACCTCTCACACAACAAAATAGATAGAAGAAGCGCTACAAAACTGTTCATCTCCTTTGACTGGGCTATGGCCTCTGTGGACCCCTGCTACAGGTCCTAGGGCAGTGTCTACTGGTGATGGGAGGGCTGGTGCTTCTGCAGTGCTGAGTGCCTCTTGAACACACGACCACACTCACTGCACTCACAGTGCCTGGCCGCACTGTGGATCCGCCTGTGGCGGCTCAGGCCTGAGCTCCTCCGGAATGCCTTGCCACACTTGTCGCACTCATAGGGTTTCAGTCCGCTGTGGATGCGCCGGTGCTTGATGAGGTCAGAAGGCCCCCTGAATGCCTTGCCGCACTCGCCACAGGCATAAGGCCGCTCATCGCTGTGGATGCGAGTGTGCTCCAGCAGGCTGGAGCTCTGGCGGAAGGCCTTGCCACACTGGGTGCACTCATAGGGCTTCTCACCCCTGTGGATCCTCCGGTGCTTGGTGAGCTCTGAGCTCCTCCGGAACAGCTTGCCGCAGTGAGGACAGCCGTAGGGTTTGGCGCCGCTGTGGATGCGCTGGTGCTCTGCCAGGCCGTTGACACCACGGAAGGACTTGCCGCAGTCGTCGCAGTCGAAGGGCAGGTGGCCCGTGTGCATCCTCTGGTGCTTGGGTAGTTCCTGGCGGTCCAGGAAATCCCTGCTGCACGCCTTGCACGCAAAGGGCTTTTCCGAACTGTGGAGCTTCTGATGTCGAAAGAGGTTGGTGTTGGCTTTGAAGGACTGCCCACACTCCTCACAATCAAAGGGCTTCTCTCTGCTGTGCACCCTCAGGTGCTGACTAAGGCCTGCGTTCTTCTTAAACCTTTTCCCGCACTCCTCACACTCAAAGGGCTTTGCCTCCCTCTCCATTTGCTCCCTTTTTTGCAAGGCATCTTCCAGAGCCCCACTGGGGCCAGGCTGGGGCTGAGTGGCCACAGCTGCGTGGCTCTTCCTGTGCTCATTAAATTCTGACACCCCCCTGAAGACCTTCCCGCAATCGCCACACTCCCAGCCCTTCTCCTCACTGTGAACCCTCTGGTGCTGAACAAGGAGCACTTTAAGGCGGAAGGTGTCCCCACACTCTTTACATGCAAAATGGTGTTCTATGGGCAGACTTTGTGGGCTCCCTCCCCTTCCCCCAGAGTCCCCATTCTGTTTGACCTCAGCGCTGGGGTCATTGGCCCTCGGGGAGCTCCTGGACGCCATCTCTTGCAGCTGGGCTTCTTCAGCCATCTTCTGGTGGGAGGTCACGGAGGAGCTTTCTACAATGATAAATGACACACAACAGTTTATAGAGGGCCCAGGAAAAAGGTTACTTTCCTTTGTTGATAAACCCCTCTCCTGCAACTGCTGAGAACCAGCAAGGGAGGGCCTGTAAGCTAGCAGAAGCAAGCGCCAAAGGGAAATGTGGGGGAGTCCTGATTGTGGCCATTGCTTATCAAAGGAGCTTTGAGCAAGGGTACAGTCACAACTCATTACCAGAGCTTCAGGGGACCTCTTGACACTAACTGTAGACTCCCCAATCTTAGCTGGTCTTCCTGAGTTGGAAACATCAACCCTAAGAGCTCAGCAGCCCCACACAACCCAAATCTGTACCCCTCTCCCAAATTTCCTCATGCTTCTTCATGTTCCCTTTATGCTCACCAGGGTGCTTAGTGTGATCTGTGTTGAGGGATGGATCTGATACCAACAGAATTTGTCCTTGTGACAGGTGAGATACCAAAGCAGGACTCACAACAGGAACTCCTGTTAACGGAAGAAGACGGCTGGTGATATCAGCATGAAGGAACAGGAGAAGAGCTGTCAAAGGAGATCCCCTCCAAATCTCCTGGGCTGTCTATGACTTTCTTATGTAAGTCACACATGCAGTTCAAATGCATTTCCCAAGTACCAGCTCCTTCTGGGGGACTCTAAGGAGGCAGGCTCTGGGCCCTCAGCAGAGGCCCCAGAAAAACAGTAGCTAGCATCTTGGCCACATGAACTTAGCTCCTTGTTCACTGAGTCACCCCAGTACCCCACTGCTGAATGTCATGCTCTTCCCAGACCTCTACAACACTTAAACCAAACTCTTAACTGTTCCTTCTTCAAAAAATCCCCCACCCCATGCAAATACCTAATGGATAAACAAGAGCTCTCAACAATGACCTTCAATCAACTGGCCATATGATTGGTATAATTTATGTGTGTGTGTATGTGTATGTACAATATACCATAGTATATATAGTACATATATACTATATATATTGCATTTATTTGTATATATTGGTATAATTTATCATCTCAGCCTTATGATTAAGATATAGCATTGTTCTGATCAATTTAATGTTTGATATGTTTTTTATTTGAAGACAATGTACTGCATTTTAAAAATACTCTAAATTATGACAGGTTTGCTCTAATTTTAATTTTTGCATTTATTTCTTTAGTGTGTGTGTGACTATGTGTGGATGTTCATACCATGGTGTGCTTGTGGAAGTCAGAGGACAACTTGCACAAATTGATTGTCTCCTCCTACTTCTGGGGATTGAACTGAGGTCAGCAGGCTTCTGTGGCAAGAACTTTTACCTGCTCAGCCATTTCACTGACTACTGTTCTAATGTCCTTCAAGTGAAAGATGGGAATGAAGAGATTTTTCCATGCCATGAGGAGTTGGGGGAGCTGTTGTTGAGTGAAATGGTGTGTGGGTGGCCATGTATCCTCAGCTCCACTTTCAGTAGATGGTGAGTCTGAAAAGCTCTGGGAACATCCTTACCAATGGAGGTCACAGTCCTGGAATATGCCACTGCCTGCTGCTCCAGGTTCAGACTCAGATTCAGCCAGTTCTGTTCTGTGAGGTACCACGGTACAACATCAAATGACACCAAGTCCTGAAATAAATCCATTGATAGTCAGTCTTTTAACCTAATCTGTAATAAGGAAGGGTGGCACCAGTGATGTCGGGGGCAAGAAGGATAGGGCCTGAAATATTCACATCGGTGTATGTTACTAATGTGGAGCTCCAACCACAATCCCAAGGAGTCCTAGAAAGAAAACATGATCAAGCACAATGAGACCTGGGCTGTCTAGCATGGGACTCCCATTGTCTTCCCAAAGAACACAGACTTAGCTTTCTCACATATACAATGGGCATCATAAGCACACTGGACATCCATTCCTTGGCAGCCTATGGGAGAGAAGCAGAGGACAGGAAAAAGGGCAGTAGCCAGGGCTCACACTCTGCTGCAAGTCATGCTGGGCAAGAAGCAAAGGCTGAGGCCAAAATCAGGGAGCAGTGACAAGAATCTCAAGCAAGGCAAGAGGGAAGCACAGCTCACCTGGGCCTCCGGCATCTCAAGAGGGACTGCCAGGACCTGGTTTCCTGGGGCTCCGTCTTGGGGAGCAGGTAGAGCTAAGGAAAGTGAAAAAAGCTGTGAGTAATGACAGCCCTGTTTCTGGGTCCCCTGGGATGGCATTAGTGACTTCTTATTTTGTAGTTTTAAATCTTACAGAGTCTTCTCTCTCAGGCGGGGCAGAATGACAAGGCAGAGCATGTGTGTGCCTGAGAAAACATATATGAAACAGCAGGAAAGTAGGCTGGGAAAGAATTAATATAGGTAGGCCAGAGGAGGGCAAGATAAGACAAACAAATGCCAGTCTAGGCAGAGTCGGAGATAGCTACAGAGAGCTGCTGGTAGGAAGACTAGCTGCCAGAGACTGGCTGACTACAGAGTTTCCCTAAAGTAAGCCTGGGTGAGTTCAATACTCATACTATAAAGGGAAGAAGCACACTAAAGAGAGTACCAGAAGAACTAACTCAGAGATAAGGGGTCCTTTCATGGACACTTGAAACTGATGAGGCCACAGAAAGGAAGAGAGATGACAAAGAGCAAGAACCTGAACTTCTTTACTAGCAGTGGGGTCTTTAAAAGTACACCCTAGTATAATAAGTCATTGGGAGAAAACCATGAAGAACTCTCTTATGTTATTCAACAAAATGGGAAGTTGAAAAAATACCTGGAGAAAAGTACTTCTAAGAAAAGTTATTCAAACACTACATTGATAAAGAAAACATTACATGTGTATGTGGGTGACCTTTTCCTCCACATTCTGATGTCAACTCAATACAACTCAATATTAAGTGAAAAGGAAGCATTTTAGCGTTATCTGAAGGACAACAAAACCCCAGGTACTCAGAAAGACTTAACTATGGCATCTTTGAAAAGGTAAATGAAAATGTCCACATGTATGGCCATGGTAGAGTAACAAGTTACAAACATGTGTTCAACAACAGTTTTTAATACCAGGGTAGTAGGAAGCCCAGGATCAAGACTGCAAGAGAAACAAATAAGGCAAGTCTTGTCACCAGTTTAGTGCTCTGCTTGGTAGCAATGTCCAGAATGAGAGTGTAGGAGGGGTGAAAGCAAATGGACAGAGCTTAGCAACCTCAACAGAAGCTTCAGGGTGGCAGGGGAAGAGGGAAGTTGCAGAGCAGAGTTCAGAAAGCACTGTGCTAGGTAGGAAAAAGAAGTGAAAAGGCTTCCCTTGAATCTTTTCTGACTACAAGTACTGAATGAAACTCCCAAGGACTGTAAGGTGAACAGTTCCCAAGATCTTACCAACTCACATAGAGTTTTTATGATTCCCAGGGACATTCAGAGGCCAATACAGAGGGACCATGACGTAACGGTAAGATCTGTCTATCCTTAAAGTCCAAACTACAAAAGATCTGCCTTATAAAAACTTAGTACCGGCCCCAATGACATCAAAGTGACCTACAAATAACTACTTGTAACCCTCAAAGTCTAGACACTCAACAAACTAATCATTATAACATGTAATTCCCAGTAAAAATTGAACTGCCAAGAAACACAAAATATGCCACCAACAGTTAAGATAACAGTCAAAGAAGCATCCAAAAATGGATAGAACTAATAGATAAAGAAAAATGATAATTTAATTATGCCCCAGCACTGAAAGAAAAACAAGGACATGGGGAGATACAGAAGATATAAAATAAAAAGAACCAAATGAAATTTTTGCAGATAAATGTATATAAAATTAAAAATTTCACTGGGTGTCATTAGTAGATTTGATACTATGAGAAACAGTGGAAAACATGAAGACATGGCAACAACTGTTACCTAAATGAAGCCAGAGAGAGAGCTACCATCAAAATTCAATTTCTAAAAATGGTAAGAGAAAACTCTTAAAAGTACCTGGAGGAAAGAAATGATGCAAAAGAAAGAAAGCAATTAAGTCTTATAAAATTTTATAGTCAGAAAAAATATTAATCAAAAATGAAGAATAAATATTTTATACAAAAGCCAACGTTTAGACAATTTGTCATTAGCAGCTCTGTACCATAGAATATACTAAAAGAGTCGGGTGGTGGTGGCGCACGCCTTTAATCCCAGCACTCAGGAGGCAGAGGCAGGCGGATCTCTGTGAGTTCGAGGCCAGCCTGGTCTACAAGAACTAGTGCCAGGACAGGCTCCAAAAAGCTACAGAGAAACCCTGTCTCGAAAAACTTTAAAAAAAAACGAATATACTAAAAGAAAACATTCAGGTGGAAGAAAATGGAATCAGATTTAGAAATACACGAAGAGTGTAAAGCCATAGGGAAACATAAGACTTTCACCTTCTGCATTTCAAAATCTTTGAAATTTAACTGATCATTTCAAGAAAATGCAGTTGCTAAACATATAAGAAAAGTAAAGGGAAGAGAAGAGATGGGGCAAATGGAAATAAATAGCAGGACAGCAAACTTAAACACAGATCATTACGCTAAATGATGGGTTACACACTTCAATTAGAAGGACAGATTGTTAGAATGTATTAAAAAAGAAGAGTGCATACTGTCTAAAAAGGTGTAAAGGACACAGACATGTTAAAAGAAAAAGCACAGAAAACAGTATTCTGTAACCAATAGGAAAAGTCTAATCTCAATACACAAAAAAAGTATGTGGGGAGAAGGTGAATGACCAGGCTGGCTCAGAGTTCTGAAAATTCTACTGAAAGGTCCTAGAACTCAGAGCAAGAAGAAAACTTGAAAGGTTTCATATAAAAATCAACAGGTAGCCAGACTAGAATAACATGCAGCAGATTACAAAAATGTGAAGATACAGGTAGGGATAACATTTGCCTGAAAACCCAAAGAGGAGAAAGAAAGCAGAGAAAACACATTTTCATAGAAAAAAGGAAAACACTGAGTCTGACCTGGAGCTAGAATAAGCACATTGATTCAATGTTTGTGTAGCTACAAAGGAAGAGAGATAAGGTCGGGAAAGACACATTTTCAGTTTCTTTAATGTGTGGCTTTTTAGACATCAAGCTGAATTTTATTGATATCAGAAAAGACCAATTTTAGATAGCGTTTGGCAGGTAAATGTGGGATAAGACAGACGGTCAGCATGCCAGAGAACAGGGCTGAGACCAAGGAGATGGCAGGAGAATGGCCCTTGAGGGCATATAAAAAGATCAGCATTTCTTAGGATACCCATATGCAGTGAAACAAAGAGGACTAGTGGAAACCTGTCAGCAGCCTGTGAAGGGGGAGTGACCAGGAAGTCTAGGCACAGCCTTCTTGGAACCATCTCCTTAAGCTATCAGCTTTATAGAAAGATATGAGCAGAAGAAGGTCTAATGTCACCCAAAAGTCCTTGCAAGCCCTCCTACGCATTTTTAGCTGTTTAGCAAAAGTGTTTATCCAAATGTGTGAGTTCATGAAGAGATATTCAGTGGACAAACCCTCTCTTTGTCCCAGTGCCACCAAAGCGGTGATCCTCTGTCTTAATAAAATTCTTCTGATTTGGGCTTCTTAAACAAACACAATGAACTGATCATAAATTTATAAACGATTTTGTTTTTAAAACAACTCACTTCAAGTGAAATGGGACATCACATCATGTATGTACTTCAGGGAAAAGATGGTCTACTATAAACCTTTTCTTGCCTTCAAGCCAGTAATAAGCTTTGGTCTAGAGCACAAATGCATATCCTGCCCCCCTTCAAAATCAACCAATTCAGACACACTGACTTTCACGCAGATATACAGATGCCAAGGTTGTGGCCCTCAAAGCCTGTGAACCTGCCAAGAATACCATCTCTTATCGTAGGAGGTTTCATCTAATAATTCAGACCTTAATGCAAATGTCACTTCCTTAAAACCTCTTTATTCTCCAGCCCTGGCAGTTTCCTCCAAACATTTTCACTAATGAAAAATTCTCCTTTGAAGTTGCTTGTTTTTCTCATAAAAAGAAAATCTGATCTAACAGGACAGTACCTTTTCTCCATTGGCTACCCCTAAATTCCCAGTGTCTGTAGCAGCTCCTGGCAACATGTAGGACATGGCATGATGTAGGCCTATGTTTCACAGCTACCTTTAAACCATACTATCATTATGCCATTGCAGAGCCTCGCTGCATAAATACATTATACTTTTCCTATCTCTCTCGCTCTCTCTCTCTCTCTCTCTCTCTCTCTCACACACACACACACACACACACACACACACACCTTTAATGGAACTAATCCCACTGAAGTGTTTTTTCTTAAGTGGCATGATAAACTGTTAAAGCCGTGGAGCTACAACTCTAAAAGAACTGTTAATTATTCTTCCTATATAGCAATAGAAGCAGCCCTTCCTGTACTAGTTCACCCTAGGGATTTGGCTTGAGAGCACGTTAGCTCCTGGTGGCTATGTGACTGCCACCCACAATAACAGAGCCCCTGACCACACAGAGATAATTTAAAAGGTACTCATGAAAACAAGAGGGAAAAGGTGGGCCCTGCTTTCACAAAAGTAACTAAATCTCTATGCAATTAGCTAAGTGTAGCAGGAAAAAGGCTTATCCTAGGTATAGGAAAATCACTTAAAAATGATAATAGACATGAATCCACCGATCCTGAAGACAACTGGGTCACTTAGTGTCTGTGTTGTTCAACTATTCCACTTTAAAATGATGGAATATAATCTAGAAAAGAAGCTGGATGCTGTGACAACAGTGACAAGCACAGGTGACCATTGCCTTCTGAAATGGATCTTTGGCGATCAAGGTCCAATCAATTCCATATAGAATATGAAAGTAATTGGAGTGCACCCAGTGGACGTGGAGGGCAACGCTAACCTTGAACATAAGACACTTTTATTCAGGATAGAAAAGCATACCCTGAATCCTTGGCCTAGGCCTGAAAAAGCATGGGATAAATCCGGACTAGCTGAACATAGCGGACAATGAGGAATACTGAGAACTCAAGAACAATTGCAGTGGGTTTTGATCCTACTGCACGTACTGGATTTGTGGGAGCCTAGGCAGTTTGAATGCTCACCTTACGAGACCTGGATAGAGGTGGGCAGTCCTTGGGCTTCCCACAGGTCAGGGAACCCTGATTGCTCTTCGAGCAGATGAGGGAGGGGGACTTGATCGGGGGAGGGGGAGGGAAATGGGAAGCGGTTGTGGGGACGAGGCAGAAATCCTTAATAAATAAATAAATTTAAAAAATAAAAAAAAGAATTTTCTATGGCATACTAGTAAGTGGGAAAGGAAGCTGGGGGAATCCCCGCAGGAAAACAAACTTTCAAGGCAAATAAGACTGTCTTTCTTTCCATGGGACACAAAGGCTTTGTCAAGGTCAACTGCAAACTTCATGTTGGGTCTAGCCAAGTCCATGGCTGCTGCAGCTGTTTAATAACCATCTGCTGCGAGAAACCATGCACGCCAACCGTGTAAGTGTTCATTGCGGGGCTGGCCAACTGTGAGTTCTAGAACAGCAGACCTCACCTGCCGAGCAAATCCTGCTTCAGAACAATATGTACATTTTTAAAAAAATGTGTTAATGTATAGTCATTGATACTTCCACATATGTGTTTACTGCAGTATTATTCATAGAATTTGCCTGAGTATCCAACAGCAGATAAATAGAATACGGTATAAGACACAATAAAGTGTTATTCAGCCATAAAGTAAGTTTTACCTAAGCAAATTATTTGAATTTATTGCATGGAATTACAAATGTTAAGGGACCCAAAATAATCACTGTATTTTTACCTGAAAGAACAGAAATTGGGAGTTGAATTCAACATGGAGCTAAAACAACGTATATCATAAAAACTGGTGAATAATTTGGTGTCTTTTATACTTCCCTGGACAGGCATTATCTTTCTGTGGCAGCAAAGTCACTCAACTAAGACCCATCAATCAAAATGTAGTGTGGCCATGTTTAAGAGAGATTTTCTTGGTTGATAGTTGATGTTGGAGGGGCCCGTCCTTAGGCAGCAGAGCCCGAGCTGTATAAAAAGCCTAGCTAAGTAGTGAACCAGGAGCAGGTCAGTAGCGCTCCACCATGCTTTCTGTCCTGGCTTCTCTCAAGCCCAATAAACCCTTTCCTCTCTTAGTTGCTTTTGATCAGGTGTTTTTTCACACCACCAGAAAACCAAGCTAGAAGAGAGCATATAATTTAACTGTTCAGTTCCCTTTAGGGCCAGGGCAAATATGTTTCAAGGTTGTGAACACTCGAAAGAGATCTGGTTCTAATGGGTGCTTTCAGCTCCCTCTCCCACACTGTGATTCCCTGGTCTCCCCATTTTCCTTGCCCGGCAACCTCTTTGCCTGGCACTGTGTCTAAGATTGCCAGAATTGTTTCTGGCTAAGTAGTTCATCAAGATTAGCATATATGAGCTTCCGGAACCCAAACACGTCTTCACTGTCTTGTGCTGCTACCCATGGGCCTTGCTGCAGCACAGCAGACACATTCTGCAAACACCTAGACTTACCCAAAAGAGACACACAGGGATGACTCATCTTGTTTTAGACCAGTTCCAAGAGATTAGTCCAGCAGGGACGGTCTCACCTGTTGGATTGAAAGAACTCAGGTGAACAGAAGCAGGCTCATGTGTGCATCTTCCAGGAACCTGTCCGTTGGTAACGAGCGCTCAAGGGCAGGACAAGCTGTGTAACTGAACCGGCACTGCCAAGGTCTGGGTGTGCCTAGGTGAGTCCAGGGTGCAAGGCCTACTGAGTGGGCCCCGGGGCTACAGGTGCGCCTGACATGTATGTTCCCAAATGAACCTGGCAGGCCAGGAGGTGGGCAAGAAGCTCATAGGTCCATCTTGTACTGTGAAAGTTGGCTGCTACTCAAAAAGCAGAGACTCCTAAAAGGCCAAAAGTGATGGCTGTCTTACCAGGAAAGTCTGTTTCTCTTGGGCTATTTGTGCCTGTGTTATCTTTTGTCTGTATGTGTTTTCTCTCTCACATTGCCTGGGCACCTGTCTTTCTGTTTAGGTTTTCCTCTTTATTCCATTCTATTAAAAGCCAGAAGGTAGACCATAAGGAGATTTTGTAGTGTTTGTTGTGTTTAATTGAGGAAAGATTTATGTTTCCATTTCTCCAAGAATATGCACTGATATCTTTCTAAAATTCAAAATAAATTGTAAGTATAGAATCACTGACGTTACACTGTGCAAATATAAAAGATTCCAAACTGGGGATATGGTGAATGGTTATACAGCTGCCCCAGGTCACCCAAAGAACCCAAACAGTTTTGGAAGGGCTGGATCATTGTGTTAGAAGCTAGGCTTATGAAAAATCTAGTGGCAGAACAGCAGGTCTGGGTGGGTGTCATGGAATTGGCATATTTCAACATGTAGACATTGGGGCTGTCTAGATTTGGAGGTTCCCTCATGTCTCATCAGACCGTTTTCCCATCCAGGAGCTTCCTTCTGAAGCTGTGCTGGTGATCAGACCTCAGGCAAGAGAACTCACTTTTTAGCTGACTTTCTAAAGGGTCTATCACTGACAAAAGGCTAGAAATCACTGTGCCATGGAATTCTAAATCTAGGTCCAGGACCACTTTGGGGCAATGGACCAGACGATGTCAGACACTGTGAATGTTGTTTCTATAACAAGGCCCAATGGGAGAAGGGAGAAGGCAAGTGGTCCTACCTAGGAGAGGTGCTATTCAACTAGTCCTATACGAAATTGTCTCCTAAAGGAAAACGTAAAGGCTGAGGATTAGAAGGAAATGTTCTACTGACCAAGGACACCGGAGGGGGCTGCCTGCCTCTGAGTCCAGGCTGGCTAGAGAGTCAGCTGGTACAGGGTGAGCCCTCTGGGAAGAGGGCCAGGAATGGGGGGGGGGACGCTGAAAAGGACTATCGGCTTTGGGCAGCAGGCAAGTAGGAGTACTCGTGTGTGTAAAATGACATGTAATTAATCACCAAATACAGACTGCAGGAACCAGCAAAGGAGTTTAGGAGAAGGGGGCAATGGAGTGGCGCCAGAAAATGTGACTCCCAGGAAGGCCACAGTAGAAGCTCTCTTCATCCAGCAAGCAGTCCCTTCTGCACCCTCAGCTCTCTGCAGCAGGCAACAGGCCTGCTCCCATTATTCTCACACAACCCCAACTCAAATGAAAAGGTAGGTATCCCCAAGCCAGAACCTTCTTCTGGGCCCCAGAGGTGCAACCCCCTCCCCCATTCTGGGAAAAAGTCTCTTCAGCCATTCCCCCACCGCGCCAATCCCTGTGGCCTCCACGTCGATGGTGGCTGTGGGGAGCGTCCACCACCAGCTCCTGACCGGTTCCCAATTCTTAGCATCCTTCAAAGAGCAGCACAGACCTCAGCACATTCGCAATTCTCGCCTTTGACCGCTGCCCCCAACCCTGCACGAGAAGGCCTCAGGGCCTTTCCATGCTCACGCACCACCAGAGACCTGTCCCCTTCGGCCCTTGGCTTGCCCCAAGGCGGAGCAGCTCTCCTCTTTGGGAGACGCCCTCTCCTCCGCATATTCTCCCGTGGTCCACGCACTCACTCAGGCCCCCAAGCACATCCTCCCGCCGCCCCGCATGCTCTTTTGGGCCGCACATCCTTGATCGCACACATCTCTCATGATCACTCGAGTTGCACGTCCCTCTCGGGGTCTGCACGCTCACCCGGCCCGCAGCACCTGACTCTGGGCCCTCGCAGAAGCGGAGCTGGCGCTGTGCAAGCAGGCCCGGCGTGGCAGGAAGCGCCAAGGAGCCGCCAGCGCCTGCCTGGCGGAGCCCTGCAGCTCGGTGGCGCGTTTCCGGAGCCGGGGTGTTGGGGGTGGAGGGTGGGGGGCCGCCTGGGGTACTGAGAGTGAAGCCCCGCCCCGGCCTCGGTCCCGCCCGGCCTGTAGGCTACCTTTGGCATGAAATGGGGTGGGAAGGATGGGGGCGTGTCTGGGGCGGGGTGAGGAAAGGAGGTGGGGTAGGTGAGAATGGAAGAGCAAAATACATGGATCCTGGGTGATGAGATAAAAAGCACGGAAAGAATGTAAAAACGAATGATGAATGAATAAATGAGCAAAATAAATTGATTCGTAGTGGAGACAATAAAGAAATTGACAAGGCTAAGACTTTCAGAATGATGGGAGAGCTGGGGGAAGACACTCAAGAAAAGAGTGCAGGAGTCAGAAACCCTCATAAAGTCATGTATGAGCCTTCATTGTGCCATACACCGAGAATACAATCGTGAACAAAACTAGACTCTTATGCCTATCTTAAAAGCCACACATCAGGCACCTCAGAGCTCCTTTGAGAGTATTGGATGTATAGTAGGGGGCACAGACCAATAAATAAACAGTAACCCCAATTTCAGAATAGCAGGTTATATCATGAATCCCAAAACCAGTGTCTTGGTTTAGAGGTGCTGCAAGTAGTTGCCTGTTCAAGATAACTTTTCTGGTCAATTTCATTGTTTTGCTTTGTGCATCCTTGGTGACACTAGTAACTGCTTTCTTAAAGTGGTTTCCTGAGTAAGTCACTAATAAACAAAGATCAATATAAAGCCCTCAGAAGAGAGATGAGAAGCTCATCCAATATCCATTCAGGTGATGTTTGAAGTGGTCAGGAAGGAAATGTGTGCATGCTTCTGTGAAACTGCAGCATTTGCTGACAAAATCAGCATCAAAGGTAAACACCCTGCCATCCAGATAATCTTGGCATATCCAGCATAAGAAAGGAAGATCAGGTGCCCGAGAATTAACTCAGCCTGAAGAGTGCTTGCCTTGCAATAGTACAAATTCCTTTCCTAAACCCCTATCTAGATATAAACCATTATGAGGAGTTTGGAAATTTCCCATGCATCCTATACCAGCCCATTTCTAGCATGATTCCACAAGGAAAGCACTATTCTAAATTTTCTCAAAATTGACAGTGTATTTATTACTATTGCATGAGAATGGAATCAGAACGTATATACTATTTTATACGGTTTTGTGTCTGAATTCTTTCCTTTACTATGCTATTTTTGAGCTCGCTCTCTATTGTTGAAATATGCTCCCTTTCCTTTCATTGCTGAGTCAGTCGCATATCATTGTACAGCTAGTTGATTCAGTCACGATGTGAGCTGTTTCCAATTTGGGTTGTTATTCACTATATAAATAGTTGTGTATGTTTTTGTGTGAACATGAGCTTTAATTTTTCTTGAGTAAAAGCCTGGGAGGGGAATTTGCCACGTCATAGGGTAGCTGTATGTGTTATTAGCAACTGCCAGAATGTTTTAAGCAATTGAGACGCCTACAGAAATGTGTGAGTTCACTTTCTTTCTCATCCTCATCAACTTTCGGGTTGCCAACCTTTATTTTTATCCATTCAAGTGGGTGTGAAGTGATTTCTGGGATCATTTCCTTGATGACTAATTACATTAAATATGTTTTTATGTTTGAAGTGCTCATTTCTGTACCTTTCTTTCTAATATGTCTCAAATCATTTGCCCAACTCTACATAGTTGTGTTTTTCTATGTGTTTTAAAAAATAAAACCACATGTGTTAGAATTTGACATGCAATAAATTACATGTTTAAAGTGTGGTAATTAAACTTTGATTTAATCATACTTAGATAAGGTTTCATAAATACACAAGCAACTATGAAGTCTTCACCAAAATGAAGGCAACAGCGTATCTATCGCCTTGAAAGTTTTATCAGACCCTGGTAATCTCTTTTCCCTCCTTCCTTACAGCCAGGTAGCCAATGATTTGCTTACTATTCCCAAAGAAGTTTGTATTTCCTAGAAGAATATATGATTCCTGTTTGGTGCAACAATTTGATGATATTCATAGTCTGTTGTACTTCTACAATAAAATAATCTAGGCTAGGTGTTGTGGTTTAAATGTACACCTTCAAAGTCCAAGAATTATCAGTCTGATCATATTAAGAAATGACATCTTCTAGCCAGGCATGGTGGCACACATCTTTAATACCAGTACTAGGAAGGCAGAGGCAGGTGGATTTCTATGAGTGAGTCTCAGGACAGCCAGAGCTGCATAAAGAAACCCTGTCTTAAAAAATCAAATCAAATTAATCAATAAAAATAAAAATATAAATGAGACCTTTAAGAAGTGCTACATGAGTCAAAGATGTTTGTTTTTTGCTATTTTTTATTGATATTGTCTCCAATAAAATGTTGAATAGAAGGTGTGAGAGTAGACATCAGCTCTTTATTAGCCCAATCAGGCGTTTTAGACAGGCAAAATAACACAACTTCACAGACCTAAACAAATGCAATATAAAAGAATGCAACACATCTTTGCACCATTAAACAAATGTTCCATAGCATAGACAAATTTAACCCATCTTAAAGTAATATTCCAAAACAACTACATTTAGAATTAACTAAAACTCAAGTGGCTGGGTTCACCTGTAATGGATTTTTCTTTTCTTTCTTTCTTCTTTCTTTCTTCCTTCCTTCCTTCTTTCCTTCCTTCCTTCCTTCTCTCTTTCTCTCTTTCTCTCTCTCTTTCTTTCCTTTCCTCCTCCTCCTCCCCCTTTTTCTTCTTGGTTTTTCAAGACAGGGTTTCCCCATGTAGCCTTGGTTGTTCCGGAACCAGATTGGCCTTGAACTCATAGAGATTCACCTGCTTCTGCTTCTTGAGTGCCCGGGGAGGGGTTTTCCCTTTCTCTTTTCTTTTTTAAAATTAATTAATTAATTTTTTAAAAAATATATTTTCCCATTTTGCATATCAATCCCAGTTCCCACTCTCTTCTCTCCTCCTGCTGCCTCCAGCTTCCTCCCCATCCCACCCCCTATTCACTCCTCAGAGGGTAAGGCTTCCCATGGGGAGTCAATGAAGTCTAGCATATTGCTTTGAGGCAGGCCCAAGGGCCTCCCCCCATATCTAGGCTGAGCAAGGTATCCATCCAAAGAGAATGGGTTGCAAAAAGCCATAACAAGCAGTAGGGATAAATCCTGGTCTCACTGCCAGTGGCCCTGTTTGGTTGAGAGGCTTCACCTCAGCTGGCTGGCACCCCTTTATCCATAAAGTCTGAAATGTTTGGTCAAAAACATCACCTCGGCTCCCTAACACCACTTTATACAAAAAGTATGGATTGTTTAGTTGGCGGCTTCACCCCAGCCCCCTGGCATCCATTTTTAGAATGCTGGGCAGAAAACTCCATTCCTAGCTCCCTCCCCTGGGAGTTGCCTCAGTCCAAACTCCACCTCGGAGAAAGCCCACCAAACGGAAATCCCTTCCCAGGGAAAGTCAAGACCACTCCCTCAGGCTATTTAACCTGCCTCCCCTCCCAGAGAATGAACACATGGTCTCCCAGTTTCCCGTGGTCTCCCCTTTTTTCTCTTCCACTCTCCGTGTTTTCCCAGGGCCACCCGGGAGTATTGCCATTTATTAAATTTGAGCGTCTTTTAATTTGGTCTGATTGGGATTATTTTCATTGGCAGAGACGTATGTCAGCCAGAAAATATTTAACAGGCTCCACAGTATTCCCCAGCCATATAACTGTCACCCACATCCAGAGAGCCTAGTTTGGTCCTATGCTAGTTCTCTCGCTGTCAGGCCCGAGTTGGTGGGCTCCCATTAGTTCAGGTAAGCTGTTTCGTGGTTATCCCAATCATGGTCTTTACCTCATTGTTCATCTGGACTTTGGGAACTCAGCCCAGTGCTCCACTGTGGATACCTGCATCTGCTTCCATCAGTTGCTAGATGAAGGTTCTATGATGACATTTAAGATAGTCATCAACCTACAGGGCAAGGCCAGTTCAGCCACCCTCTCCACTATAGCTTTGGATCTTAGCTGGAGTCATCCTTGTGGATCCCAGAGACTTTCTCTAGAACCAGGTTTCTTACTAGCCCCATAATAACTCCCACAATCAAGATATCTACTTTCTCTTTGTCTCTGTCCTTCCCCCATCTCAACTATCCCATTCTCTCAAGTTCTCCTCACCCTCTCTGTTTCCTCTCCTCCTCCCCTTCTGCTCTCCCTCCCACTCCCAATTTTCTCAGGAGATCTTGTCCATTTCTCCTTCCCAGGGGGATCTATGTATGTGTTTCTCTTAGGGTTCTCCTTGTTACTTAGCTTCTCTGGGGTTGTGGACTATAGGCTCACTGTCCTTTGCTTTACAGCTAGTGCCACTTATGAGTGAGTTACATACCATGTTTGTCTTTCTGGGTCTGGATTACCTCACTCAGGATGTTTTTCTTATAGCTCCATCCATTTGCATGCAAATTTCAAGATGTCATTGTTTTGTACAGCTGAGTAGTACTCTATTGTGTAAATGTACCACATTTTCTTTATCCATTTTTCTGTGGAGGGGCATCTAGGTTGTTTCCAGGCTCTGGCTGTTACAAATAATGCTGCTATGAACATAGTTGAACAAATGTCCTTGTTTGATCATCCTTTGGGTATATGTTCAAGAGTGGTATTGCTGGGTCCTGAGGTAGGTTGACTCCTAATTTTCTGAGAAACCGCCATACTGATTTCCAAAGTGGTAGTACAAGTTAGCATTCCCACCAGAAATAGAGGAGTGCTCCCCTTACTCCACATCCTCTCCAGCATAAGCTATCATTGGTGTTTTTGATCTTAGCCATTCTGACTGGTGTAAGGGTATCTTAGAGTCATTTTGATTGGCATTTCCCTGATGGGTAATGATGTTGAATATTTCCTTAAGCGTCTTTTAGGCGTTTCAGATTCTTCTATTGATAATTCTCTGTTTAGTTCTTGTAACATCCGATTTTGTGTTACACCCTCGGTACAGTTCGCGCGCCCCTGTACCGTACGCTAGTCAGGCAAGAGCCTGGAGATT